GAAAATAAAGTCCTAAACATTCTAAGCAATTGATTGGGAGGTTGATTAACACTAAATGAGCACTTAAGAACGAGCAATTAATTGAAGGCAAGATCAAAAGACGAGCAATTCGCAAACTAGATCACCGGATTCTCAAGCCATAACCAATACGGGATGATAATCAATCGACATACGGAATAAACGAGCTACGAGCATTAGATTGCTAACCCTAGTCGTCTAGTCGAGATCAACAAGTAATTAACGGCTCTATCTACTCAAGCAAGCAATCAAGTTCAAGCATTTCCACCATCATCAATCAAATCCAATTTACTCTAATGAAAATTATAAGTAAAACCGGAGCAAAAACGAGGTAAAGAGCTTTAGAATTAAATACTCAATCTCCCATTGCGTAGACGATGAAAAACGGAGTCAAAAGCTCGAAACTTGAAAAGAACCGAAGTCGCCGGAAAATCTTCCGGAAAATAGCATAATCTCCTAATCTAGAGAGCAAAATAGAACATAAGCTAAGAACAAAAAAGGAAAAATGAAATAATGAAAGTTGGATCTCCAAAATACAAAGGAAAAAACATATTTATAGTCTCCTACAAAAACACACACTAGGTGCACACACATTTACAAATTCAGCACTCGCTAGGTAGCGAACTAGTTCGCTAGGCGAACTGGTCTTGTAGTTGTGCACACTCGCTAGGCGGCGAACTCATTCGCTATGCGGACTGGCCCTATGAGTCTTGTGAACACTCGCTATGCGGCGAATACGTTCGCTAGGCGACTAGACTTTCGGCATGGTAATGACTCGATAACGGCTCGGGCGACTCGGGCGACTCGATCGGCTTGGACGGCACATCACGAAATGACTATTTCTTCCTTCCGGGCCTACGAAACACCAAAACGCACAAGGACGATAGAAAAATATACAAAAACAACTCAAAAACGGAAAGCTACTAAAACGAACACAAAATGGACCGGAACGCACAAACCGAACCTAAAAATACTCGACTCAAGCAAATAAAAACACAAGAAAAACACACAAAAACATAACAAACAAGACGCTTTATGATTAAACCTGAAAATTTTCAAGATTTAATACAATTACGAGTTAGAAAAATAGACTAGACAAAGTAGTGAACTCAACCGCATTCGTTCACTTAAATAGGTTGTGTTATCCCCGTAGCTACCGTCTTCCGGTAGCCTCTTATGAATTAAAAAACAACAATTACGGATTGAAGATCTAATTCAGCTATAGATATGAAAAACCTAATCTAGATGATCAATCTAAATAAGACTCAACACATCATGGTTAATTATTCAAAATAACACGCACAATTCCAAAATGATATTGAAATTATCAACCACGTAAATCAATTAAACATTATCAAGTAAGTAGGGTTCGACATTCCCGAAACTAGGAAAAAAAATACTCTAATATAATAAATAAAAATAAATAATAGATAAAGAGAGAGATTAATTATCTCCCTACGAGTGCGATCTTCCGCAATTAATCGGCTTCCACGTTGTTTCTGTCCGTGTGGCTCCAAAAGCTCTCTTTTCTGTTCTGCAAACTGTTCCTTTGTATGCTGGCGGCTCCCAAAACTAATTCCTCCCCAAAAGCCTTGTATAGTATGTTAATTTTTTAAAACTTCTTGTTTATTTTATTTTTTCTCTCAAAATTGAAAAAACATAAAAGAAAAATAAATATTATACATAAATATATATACTATATAGGGGTTAAATAAATGTGTCTCTATTCTTAAATGGAATGAGAGACTCAACTCTAGTTATTAAATAAGAAACAAGATGTTTGGTCAAAATGTTTAATCTTTTTATTTTTTAGTTGGTTAATATTGATTTGACCGTTGACTTTCGACGTTGACCGTCGACCGTAATTTGTGCCCGTTATCTATAAAGTCTACGTTCGCCCCTTGTATTCTGCGTAAATATTCTTTTGCGTGCGTGTTGGGCAAATAATTCCTAGTAGGCCCTTACCAAATTAATTATCCAAGCCCCTTACCAAATTCGTTTCAAAGTAGGCCCAAATTAAACTATTTTTCATGGCCCATGTTACGTAGGAGTGCATGGGAATAGGTATATGTTTGGGCCTGGTGGACGTTTGAATATGGGGTGCTGTTAGGACAGTACGGGACACCCCATACTCTGCTGGAAAAACGTCTTCATCTTTCTTCGTGTAATCAGAAATAGTTTCAAAAAGGCTGAAAATAGATAATAAAATATCAAAGTACACGAATTCATCCACATAATAAATAAGTCAAAAAATATGGATGTGCGAAATAAATTAAATGTATAGGAATACACTATTAAATATATAAAACGTGCACATTTTTCAACCTATCAGGATTCTTGATAGGCTTAAATAAATCATTAAATTATTTAGCAGGATATATATGATATGATTTATACTGCTTTTATGAAGATTGCATAGCCAAATATAACGGATTTATACTGCTTTTATGAAGATTGCATAGCCAAATACAACGGATATTGTAAAACGTCTTTCTCGATAATCTATAACCTTATTATTTTAAAATTGTAAATTACTTATGAAGGAAAAAATGGGTAAATGTATGCAATCAATTTCAAATTTGTATTCTAGAGGATTAAACAAAACACAATTTTTTTAGGATGTTCTAATCCGATTTCAATTTGAATTTCAAATTAATCTTATCTGACTCTGTTTTATGTTCTAAGAAAATTCCGAACTAAAGAAATTGTGTAAATGTATACAATCAATTTAATAGTCGTGTTCTAGAAGAATAAACAAAACATAAATTTTTAGAATGTTCCAATCCATTTCATTTTGAATTTCAAATTAATATTATCTGATTATGTTTTATGTTTTAAATAGAATATTGGAACTAAAGAAAGTAGTAGTCAAATGTAAGAGATTTTTAAATTTTAATTTCAATTCGAAATTGGTCCGATTTTTGATCTTTAATAAACATGATATATTGCAATTAGGTAAAGATACATGTTATAGTATTTTGTCTAATTCAAAATTCTCGATTTTATGGTTAAGATATTTTTTTTTAAAATAAAAAATGAGAAAATTTTAAATTTTACAAAATTGTCATGCCGATTTTACCTAAATTAACCCAATTTTATGTAATTCGATTTTTTTAATAAACAATTGATATGTTGCAGTTAAGAAAAGATATATCTGATGGTATTATGTAGTGTTCTTAAAATCGGCCTAGGCGGCCGCTTAGGCGCTAGGCGGTTTCCCGGCGCCTCCGATTTGCACAAATCGTCAGAAAAAAATCGGACAGGCGGCTAGGCGGCTCCTAGGCGGGCTCGACCACAATTTCTCAGTTTTTATTTTTTTATTTTTTTAAAATACTAATTACATTATTTTGTTCTCATGTTTTCTTTAAAATATATTAATTTATTTATTTGGGCTTACGTGTGTCGATTTATTATAAGTTGAGATAATTTTATTGAGTAATGCTATAGAACCCACTTGGGTGACAACATGGGTTACAACATAAGTGTAAATGCATAATTTTTTAAATTTTAATAAAGCATTTACACTTGAGTTGTAACCGAAGTTGTCAACGAAGTGGACTTAATAGCATTACTCAATTTTATTTTGTAGCTAGTTAAAATAAATAAAAATAAGGTATTTAATATTGATTTTTAGGCCCCGACTAGGCGCCGCCTAGGTCTCGCCTAGGCGCTAGGCGCTGGTCGAGCGCCTAGCGGGCGCCTAGCGACTCTTAGAACACTGGTATTTTGTCTAATCCGAAACTCGTATTCATTTTTTTTAAATAAAAAATGAGAAAGAAGTTTTACTTTTGTAAAATTGTAAGCATCAGTCGAAATTGACATAAAATAAATCCACAAAACCCATGAATTTAAGGTGCATATATAGCTGATCGATTCTTTGGGAATAATTTAAAAAAAAAAAAACTGCAAAAAATAGAATGCAATAAATGTTGGTTGACTTTTCTTGTTACTATTTTTGATAATATG